TCATAAAGTTTCTTTGTTCTTGGATCAAATAGACGATACGCCTTTCTGTAAAGGCTGTACCCAACAAAGATGCACTTTCTAGATCTTGAATCAAATTTCTTTGTGAGCTCTTTTGGAATGTGCATGTAAGCATCACATCCAAATACTTTCAAATGTGCAACATCAGGTTTTCTTCCATAAAAACTTTCATATGGAGTCATGTCCTTCACTGCTTTAGTGGGACTACGATTCCTCAAAATGACTGCTGCTGCAACTGCTTCTCCCCAAAAATCATTTGTTAATTTAGCAGCATGCAGCATTGACCTTGCAATCTCTTGAATGGTTCTGTTCATTCTCTCTGCGACCCCATTCTGTTCTGGTGTTCTTGGGACACTTCTCTTCTTTGAAATACCTTTGAGTGTCAAGAAATCATAAAATTCCTTGGAACTATACTCCCCACCATTATCTGATCGAAGATTTTTGATTCTCTGTCCAGTGATATTTGTTGCCATGGCTTCAAACTCTTTGAACTTTTGAAGAACTTCATCTTTGTTTTTTACAAAGTATATTGCAGTAAATCTTGATTTATCATCGATGAAGGTAACAAAATATCGATGTCCACCCAGACTGGTCGTTTGCATTGGCCCACATACATCACTGTGCACAATCTCTAGAAGCTCAGTAGCATGTGTAGCTTGACCTTTAGGAAATGAGTTTCGTGTTTGTTTTCCCTCGACACAGGCCTCACAAAATTGCATATCTTTTGAATCATTGAACTTTAGTCCCTCAACTAGTTCCTCATCTTGCAACGTTTTCAAATTCTTCACTCCTAAATGGCCAAACCTCTGATGCCATAGTTGTAAGGAATCAGCTGCACTGTTAGCTTCATGTGCTAATTCATTCATTGGTAGACAGTCAAGAATAAACAACTTTCTGTCTTTTCTTCCTAAACCCAAGGTTTCTCCATCGCTATTTAGGATTAGACATTTGTCCTCGTTGAAAACCACTGACAAATTCCTTTTGACAATTGCACTGATTGAGAGCAAATTCTTTGCCAAATCTGGAACAAACAGCACTTCAGCCAATTCAACAGGCTTCCATTTCCCTTCGACTTTGACCTTAACCCAAACTGACCCCGTACCTTGTGCCAATACAACTCTGTTGTCACCCAAGCGTACTTTCTCTGGTACAGCAAATTCACGAAAATTCACCATCCTTTCTTTGCACCATGACATGTGCTGAGATGCACCAGAGTCAATAATCCAGGTATTCGCTTCTTTCTTGTCTGTGCTGGCTGTTATCCAAAAGAGAGTATGCGTGGCTTCCATTTCTGTAACATTAGCTTGCTGTCTCGGCCTTTCGCTTGACTTCTTAGGTTTCTTACAGTCTCTTGCCCAATGTCCTTTTAAACCGCAGTTGTAGCATTTCCCTTTCTTGTTGGTGGATTTCACTTGGTGTCCAGCAACTCTAGACATCTCCTTCGTGGTAACAAGTGCCTTTTCCATCGCAATTCCAAGGTCAGATGAAATTTCAGATCGTTTTCTTTCTTCATGTAGCAATCTGGCAATAATGAATTCTAGGGTGAGTTGATCTGCCCGTGATTCAAGTGCAATAATAAGGTTATTATAGGAATCTGGCAAACTGCACAAAAGAGTCGCCACTTGATCCTCTTCAGAGACTTGTGCTCCCACTGAAGCCATTTGCTCTGCCAAACTTCTCATTTTGTTTACGTGTTCCATCATTGTATCATTTTCTGACATTGTCGCAGTAAAATACCTCTTTCGTAAAAACAACTTGTTAGCCAGTGATTTGACTTCATAGTGATTTTCTAATTTTGACCACGCTTCGCCAGCTGTGTTCGCTGATCGAACCAAAGATAACTGACTGTCACTTATCGATAAACAAATGGTCGCCAGTGCTTTCCTCGCACGCTTTCGAAATTTCTGCACAGAAGCTTCCGTGGTTCCTTCCCCTGCAGGTTCCACTTCTTCGCCAGAAACTATACCCCAAAGATCCTTATCTTCGAGAACCATTTGCATTTTGAACTTCCATAAATGAAAATTCGTTCCATCGAACTTATCAACGTGCTGTGACATAAACTCCATCGGTTTCGCAGCCATAATTCGCACTGAATTTAAAATCGTCGAAAGTCAGCTTCGTGGCAAATTCTATTCGAATTTATCAAAACTCCTGGGCCCATAACCTGTTAAAATCAGGAGTTTTACGCACAGAAACAAGCGATTTAAGATAAATTCATCCATAACATAACGGCGATTACAACTCGAACGAAAAACTTAGAAGAAGTATCATCTTACAGCTCACAGCATGACAGCGTGCAATAAAAACGGAAGTAAACGTCATTGTTCGTAACTAAACAATAGCTCTATTTTTTGTATATTCTAACAATGGAGTCGACTGGCTACATGTATAATGAGTACGTTAAAGCTGGTAATTTGGAAGACAAAGGTCGCTAGATTTTCAGAGTAACATTCGACACTGGATGTTTTCAAGTTTCGACATTCATTACATTCATTACCTCCTCCATGGATCAAGGGCCTACAAATGTCAATAAATGCCCTGGACTGGGGTGATACCTGCGATTTGGCTCTGGCGAATAAATAATATTCAGGACGTTGGTAGAGTGAAATTTTTATTTAGACAAAACTTTCAAAGTGAATCTTTTCAATGTGGATTCTCAGTTCCTTATCAGCTTTCAGATATTTCCGGGTATAGTTTACTTGCTTGGGTATTCCCCTGAATTCGAAGGGGTTTCTTCGGAGTAAAATACATGTTAACACGCTGATTTGGTTTAGCTATTAAATAATACTAGTTATTAATGCAGGTTTTTATGAATATTTGTGTACATTTGTTCTATTTTGTTAGTTATGAAAATTCATTGTAATGATATTTTCATTTTTTGCGTGGCCTGGTTTGTCATCGTATACCATAAACAAATCGAGAGAGACGACTCGAATGTTTGCCTGATTATGGAAGGAAAACAGTCTCAATACGCTTAAAGAATTTTAAGTTGGGGGGGGGGGGGTGGACTACAACTTTACCTGATTAAAAATTATTGCCTGAAATATTTTAGCTGCTGTGCTGTCACAAACCTCTGCAATACATTTTGTCAATCTAACTCTGTATGATAATAACGGACTTTTCTATTAGTCTTGTCAAATCTCTATATCGGAACGGGCAAAGGATATAGTTACTACCTGAGGCGGCACCATGGTTGCCGCCGAAGGAGGAGGAAATTTTCGATTTTTGATGCTTCTAGTTCCCTGGGAAATGCACTCTTTTAAGCAAATTTCACTAAAGCAATCCTCCTAATCCTATTGAAAATTATTGTTTTTTTGCAAAAATTGTTTACAGCAGATATAAACAACAGTTTCGCCGTGGTCTTGAAAAATACCAGGTTGTCAGTTACTTCTAAATTTAAATCCCTCTCTCCATCTTAGCATGCCTTTTGAATGTTAAGAAAAATCTGGAGCTCATAGTGAATTGCAGTTGACGCTTCTACTGAGAAACTTTAGGAGAAATGGACACAAGACACAATTTTACCTAGAAAGGGCCTGGATTTTTTATTTATTGCCAACAAGCAATCTTCAAATCTTCAAATCATTAGTTTGGTTACCTTCATTCATATCAAGGAATATCATATTTAACCAACGGAGAAACTGCCTTTGCTTGATCCTTTATTGATTTTATGACATGAATGTCTCTGAAATACCTAAAGCGTTTCTTCCACCAAGCGGTTTATACCTGAAATTTCTTATTGAGATACTATTGGGAGGGGGTGTGACCCCCCCCCCACACCCCCCGGTCGCGATGCCTCTGGTAGTATCAATTGAAACTCTGATAAGGAATAAACAACAGTTTGACCACGTTCTAAATAAAAGCCAATGTAATGTGTGTATCGACTGCTCAAATGAGAAATACTGTAATAGGGGTTTTTTGCCAAACGAATCCAACCTATCGTTTCCGTCGATATAAACTAGTCCTTCGATGAGAATTGAGACAAAGAGACAAATAAATAATGTTTCAAACGTCCGTCTTCCGATCATGTGATCTTTCCGCAAAAGGTTAAAACTTCACAATGTTTCTCTACGGTTGACCCGTAACGTCGATCGTTCTCTTAATAACAGGCACAGTCTTTCACAAGCACTGTCCATTCAAACTATACTACAATAATGCACAATCAATAAATCGTCACGCGCGGTTCCATAAATCCAAATACGTATTCTATCAATCCATACTTCATGTCGACAAGATCTTTTACAAGCATCTCGCCACTCTAATTAATCGCCGAGAACCTAAACATACATGATATCAAACCTTAACCCTATCGCTCTTAACCATGAATCTAACTAACTCTGTAAAATAACACGCCCAAAATATAACCTAAACAAGAACTAATTGAAATACTACATAGCTAGGTATTTACAAAACAATAGTGATTACAAAAGATACTACTCCCAAGATTAATTAGATGCGCAACTGCCCCTACCACTGAATTGATGGCTGCAATCATTTTTGGTTCTGTAAAAAGGATTTTCTGCCTTTTGAAAGTTTTTAAACTTTTTGGAAAGAATAATCTGAGGCAAAGGGCGCACCGGGAAATTTCCAGATGTCCCAGTGGGCCAGTCCGCTTCTGCAGTTTACAATTTAAGGTTTTGTTCAAGTTTAATAGCATTTTAATTATTAGAATTAGTTTAGATCAATTGTAACTTTTTACTTTATTATATATTATGTTTTAGTTTTTGTTTTAGTTTAGATGCATGGCTACCATGCTTCAATAATTGAAAATAAAAAAGTTAATCAATGTTCCATGCGCTTGATCTTTGACTCCTTGACGGAGGGTTGCTTCACTCATTAAAAAACTTTCTCTTGCTCGTCCCCCCTTATCAAATCCCACCTCCCCCTGGAGGAAACAGTGTTTCGCTAACACAGCACTTTTCAATGATAGTCACATGCCATAGAGTGTCACATGCTTACCTCTGTTTGATGAAACTGTAAATAGCGTATTCAAATTTGTTTGAATTATAAACACAGCCACAGAATAGACGCACACACAAACCTACTCAAAGAGCCGAACGGAGAATGGCGGGCAAGATTCTTCCAGCTTTTGCAGCAGTCTTGATTTTTGCTGCATCGGTTCTAGCAAATTTGAAGGATGAGTACGATCATGCAGCTTTCTTGGACCCAAAGGAAAGCTACAAACTTTACTGGAGTGTAAAAGATGCTGATAAATCGATTCATTTTGCTGCCGAAGTGAAAACGACCGGCTGGGTCGCTTTTGGGATATCTGCTGGACTCTCAGGGAGTATGAAAGGCGCTGACATTGTTGTTGGTTGGGTTGATTCCAAAGGAAAAGGCCACTTGAAGGTATTTACTTGTCAGCATTCCCACGATCTTAGTTAAACCATTATATCACTTAATGGATTATATCACTCAATGAAAGTAACAAGCTAGAGATTACTGAAGATTTTGTAAATAACCTCGGCATGCTGGAAAAGCAAGACTGGTGGGGTCCTCTTGCGAGAGGGGCAGAGGGGGCAAGAAGTGCCCTGAAATATTAGAAAATATTATAGAATCTTATCGATAATTGATGTCCACTTTGACCACTTTGACCTCTATGTTAATTTCTATTAGAAAAAAGGTTAGAAAGATGATAACACTCAGAAGTACTCCGGGAACCTATTAGGAAGGAAAAATGACAAGACCATTTTTATGTATGGATAATTTCGTTACAAAAAGAAGGATAATTTTGTTAACATTTTCTCTAACATTTGGCTACCATCATAACCAAGCATGGCCCGAACCTAGCTTTTAGCTCAACGTCATGCTTTGTCCCGTGATGCAACACATACATATTGCGCAACATATTGAGTGCGAAAACTCGTTGCTTCCTTCCTTATTTGTTGAAACCGTTTCAGCTGTGCAGGCTATCGTAACGTTCCATTTGCCGAATGGAATTTTTGCATTGTGTCATGCTCTCAAGTCAATTCAAAGCAAATTTGCTGTAAGGGCCTATAATGACTTTGAATTTTCAAAGAAATTCTCAAATTTTTTTTTAAAAAGATGTTTAGAAAGTCATGATATCATGTGTACACTCATTTTTTTATAAGAAACAAAGTTCGATCTTGAGTACTCCAGTTTCTTAACGTTCTGAAAATTTGAATACTCATTGTTTCTTAGAAGTTTCTTAATTATGATCTCATGAATGATGTTATGAAATGTTCATGACCTTTTTTATCACGTCCAGAAATTCGCTTCCGTTTTGATGCTGTATTTAGATATGGGAAGTATATTTTTATCCCTCTTGTTTTTAGTTCTAGGCCAGCAGGGCAATAATGTTCTTGGATTTTACAAAATTTCGTTGGTATTAGTTTTATCACGATTTAATAGTTTCTTAATTCTTTTGCTTCGAGCCCTGAAGTTTCTTAGTTTTTTCTGACTGTCCAGTACTCGCTTCTTATAGCCATTTTCTTTTAAAAAATGAGAGTATTTCGAGAAAAGTATCCAAAACCTACTAGAAACTTATATTAAGAAAATAAACGAAACGTTCGATTTTCACTGTCGAATCTTGATCACAGAAAGGAGCTTTGTGTGCAATTCGTCGGCTTAAGAGGTGATTCCCTAACACTCTATTATAAATGAAAATGCTTACTCATGGGACAAAATAGATCACATGCCATCTCAAACCAAAACACAGAATAATAATTCTTATACAATGAGTAAAGACTGAAAGGGGGCCTATTATAGGTTTGCGGCTTCGCGGCCTGGACCCTATTGCGGCTTCGCGGCCGGCGCGGCCTCCGGATTTTGGTATGATTTTTTTACGTCTTGCGTCTTTCGGTTTAAATTCGCGACGGTTTACGGCCTCTATGATGCGGTTGCGGCTTCTAGCTGCAATAACGTCTTGCGGCCAGGCCCTTAATAATCAATTTATTTAAAGTTGGCGCTACATAGCTATTTGCAAAGAAATGAGCTAATCCAAGCCAACTGTTAAAACTACAGTCGACTCTCGTTATTACGGACACCATCAGGACCAAAATGTTGCGTCCGCAATAACGAGAGTCCGTAATAGCGAGATGAGAAAAAAATCACTAATTTATTGGTTGAAAAATTATTAAGTTTTTTTAATCAATAGCAATCGTGTAATTTTGTTAACAGAGATTTGTAGTGCTGGAGTTTATAAATTTTGTATCATTTTGTAGTTTGTAGTTTTATTGTTGTAAAAAGTACTCTTCAAGTGTCGTCTGGTGTGATTGCTTTTTCAGTGCATGTGCTGCAACTTTACTACTGAGGCATGCGAATTCACTTGCTATCGTCGCAAGACCACGCTGGATGAGAAAAACCTTCTATGTCTCTCACAGACCTTGCAACATCGTGATAGCTCTTCAAGCTGGTGGTCGGAGTGACTCATGTATATCATTATCATCATTATCATCATCATCATCATCATCATTATCATCTGATATAACCACTTCCACTTGCTCATTTATCACTAAAGAATCTAGCAGTTCCTTTTCATTATCCATGCAGTAGCATATAGGCAGCTCGGTATCTGATAGCAGGTATGTATATGGAGTGATGGTGGTTTCGGGTGAAACTTCTTTAATTAGATTTTCGAGATCTTCATCGATGTCATCGAGGTCACTGAAGGGATCTGCCTCCTCGTCTTCTATCAGTGTATTGCTGGAAATTCCCCCAGAATTGAAACACTTACTGATGGTTGTCACCTTAACATTATGCCATGCTTCCCCCACCCAATTCATTGCCTGTAACACGTTGAGTGATTTGCTGATCTCTGCGGCGTTCCTTTCACTTGAGGTCATTGTGATGATGAAGCGTAGCAAAAGCTTTCTATAATGAACTTTGAAGTTTTGAATAATGCCGAGATCAAGAGGTTGCAACTCAGATGTGCAATTTACAGGAAAAAACACGAGCTTGACGTTCGAGTAGCGTCCCTTCAAATCATACGGATGGCAACCAGCTGAGTCGAGAAACAACAAAATTGATCTTTTCTCCTTTCCCCCCCCCTCCCCCTCAGCAACTCACAAGCGCGAGAAACGGCGGTATGGGACTGTTAAACTTGCGATCTTATTTTCTGTAGACGTCCATAGCGGATGTCTCGTTGTGTTGGTAGCAGTCCAGTGCACGCGGGGCTGTCGTTGGTTTCTTCGGGAGCAGATGACAAAAGGCAGCCAGATGTGCACGGGCGCCTTTGGATTCAGTTTGTTCGCTTTACCATTCCCTGTAAATTTGACTCAGATTTAAGCAGAATGTCGGAAGTCAATCCATGCATTTTTTTGCTGTAATATTGTCAAGGAAGGTCGCCTCTGTGGACATTTTTCAAAGCACCCTTGGATTGGCATACTTTCGCGATAACTATTGGTTTCTTCTTTTTTCTCTCAGTTGCAGAGGTCATCGGGCAACAGCAGACGTTCTTGGATGTCTTTACCACCTTTCATTCTATTGATTTGGCAAAAAAGGCATTTGTCTGGAAGAGCACGATAGATGAGGCCAGTCTCAACTAAGTTCCAAATGTCTTGCATTTCATAACCAGAAATGATTGAGCCAAGCCGCTCTTTCCAAGACTTCATTGTATCCACTGCAACATCAGCAGATTCTCCGCAAACTTTGTGTTGTGAAAGATTGTGTCGTTCTTTGAATCTTGTCAACCAACCACTTGAGGCTTTGAAATCAATGTAACCTAGCTTTTCGGCAACTTGAGATGCAAATTCCTGGATCATTGGACCATCAACTGGAATTAGTTGATCATTCTTGTTTTTATACCACTCCCAGACAGCATCGTTTAAATCTGAAAACTGAGAAGTACGGTTTCGTTTCTTTCCTTGAGGAAGTCCTTTTTCATATTGTTCTCTTACTGATACCTTGTTTTTGATGATGTTGCTTATTTGCGTCTTTCCACACATGTATTTCTCGGCTAATTTTCTTATTCCTAAAGAACCATTAGTACTTTCATATTCTTCAACAATGTGGAATTTCTTGTCCAAGGACAATTCATTCCTTGCTCTTTTGGCTGACTTCTGTTTAGGCATGGCAAAGATTGTATGAAAAGTTAGCTCGGTACAACTGAGCAACAATTTTCCGCGCTTCGTTGTGATGGTTTTAATCGGTCAATAGTGATCATAGTTTGAAATCCGGCAATGCAACTGACATGTCAACATTGCCTTGACATGTCCTGACATGTTTACTTCTCTGACACTCCTATTTGTAAACAGTGCGCAAATACAATTGTGTCTGAAAACAGACTAGGCTGTTGGTCGTAACTTGAATTTAGCAACCTGCACCGCAGACATACGAGACACACAGACTTTTTCAAAGCATAAAGCTAAATCCGAATTTAATCAAAGATTCATGCTAAGTCAAGAGCAGAACGCACACTTTAGGGTGTATTGCTCGTGGCTGAGAGGTCACCATGCTTACAAAGATGTGTTCAGTCCAGAGATTGGTAAAGTGTTGGCGCTTCAACGAGAACCAGAAAATGGTAGAGACAGAAATGCTGTGGCAATTATTGAAGAAAATGGGCGAATTGTTGGGCACATCCCCTTTGGATTATCTCAAATTGTTTCTTCTTTTTTGAAACGAGAATACAACAGTGGGGTTGCAGTTATTTGTGGCAAGCGAGTAAACAGAGGGGCTGGATTGGGACTCGAGATTCCAGTTATGTTTAAATTTTATGGGAAAGCAGATTTCTTAGAGAGACTCGATATCCTGATCAAGAGCAGTGAGACTGCAAAAAAGACGTTGCGTTTAGAATCAGAAGGGATATCAAGCGAGGAGTCATTGAAACGACCACCTGGAAAACGCAAATCTGTTGCTAAAAATCAACACACGGCTAAAATTCCGCGGAAATAGATTGTACAATGGATGCTTAAGATCGACACTTAATTAACAATATTCTTAATTAACACTTAATCTGACAGTTATATTCAGCATGTGTCCGTTCTATCGAGAGTTAAATATTTTAAATGTTCAAATGGGACCACACGTAGTGTCCGCATTTCCGTAATAGCGAGAGTCCGTTATAGCGAGAATTACGTTCAGTCATTTCTTTGTATTTCAGTCGGGGATTTTTTTTGTGTCCGTAATAGGGGGGTGTCCGTTATATCGGGGTGTCCGTAAGGCGAGAGTTGACTGTACTACATCAACTAAATACATACGAGATTAAATACATAAAATTTTATTTAAGTACAAAATGATCCATTAAAAAACTATAAAAACCTGAGCTATTTAAAAGATAGAATTACAAAAAACCAAGCTGTGGCACGAACGTCCTACATAGTTTGCATGTACAGTCTGTGCCATTCCAGCTTTTAATTTCTTTCTTAAACTCATTAATAGATTGAGCATTCCTTATGTGCTGAGGTAAAGAGAGCCAAAGACGCTGCCCTCTATATTTGATAGTTTCGGTTCCATAAATGGTTGTTCTTACTCTTGGTACCATAAATTCATTACTATTTCTCAAATTATAAACAGCATGACGCTCGCAGAAAATCTCCTTCATAAAAGGAGGGTTGATATTTCCCTTTGTTTTAAACATTTCAATCATAAGATTTCGCAGGTGTTTTACATGAATATTTACAGAGCCATCATTTTCTAGCAGAGTGTTGAAGCTAGAATCATAGTCTTTGTATGCAATTCTCAGAGCTCTTTCGTGTATTCTATTAATCTTACTATTCAAGTGCCTACTGTGGAACATCCAGACTAGTGGACAGTATTCGAATTGGCTAATTACAAATGGATTAGAACTTTTGCCAAGAATAAGTAAATGACATTTGTTTGTATTCAACTTCATAAAGTTATCAGCGAACCATTGGATAGTTATACTTGAGTCATTCTCTAGCCTTGCAATTACATTATTGAGATTTTTATCGCACGCATATAGAGTTGTATCATCCGCGTAATTGCAGATATCCGTATCTATAAGGAGAGAAGTGAGTCATTTATGTAGATGTTAAAGAAGAGGGGACCAAGAACTGATCCTTGCGGAACACCAAGGAACAGTTGTTTGTAGGTACTGAATGATCCATTAATCTTAACTCTCTGATGCCTATTTTCCAAGTAGCTGTTAACAAGACACAGTGCTTCATGGCTGAATCCGTAAGCATCTGGTTTTGCTATAAGGAGGTCATGTTTAATACAATCAAAGGCTTTCGAGAGATCCATAAGGATTGCGCCAACATTTTCTCCCCTGTCTAAGCTTGCTTTCCATTTTTCAAGCACTCGAACTAATGCGTGCTGCACATTGTACCCTTTACGAAAATCACATAAAAGTGACGATACATAAGATTGCATATAATCAATAATCTGTTTATCCATAAGTCTCTCAAAAACCTTTGAAACAGTTGGTAATACACTAACCGGTCTGTAATTTTTCTTATTGGTTTTCTCCTCCGATTTGTGGAGGGAAGTGACATCTGCTAGTTTTAATAGGTCCGGAAAGACACCATTTTGAATGCAGTTATTGAAAATAAGCTGCAACGATTCGGAACAAATGTCAGAGCTATTTTTCAGCACTCTCGCGGGTATATTTCCAAAGGTTTTTGATTTTTTAGGATTAAGCCCCTCAATTTCAGAGTGCATCTGTTCCAAAGTAACCTCTTGGAATTTAAAGTAGCCGTTAATTCGAGCAAAACTGCGAATTTTCCTAATGCTAGGGTGTTTTGAATATTTCATTATAGCCTTTTCTATAGGATCTGATAAACCATTTGTACTTATGGTAACCTCCCTGTTCTCTGTCAGACCTAATGAGTCAGTAATCGATATAAAATAATCGTTCATGGCTTCTGCAACTTCCTTATCATTGGAAATCATCCTATTATTATCGATAAGGGTAATATTTGAGTTCGATCGACTTTTATCGGAATGGACAGGTTTTACGCTGTCGACGAAACGCTTCCCAATGTTCAGCTGTGCGGCTTTTATTATATCTATTTTTCAACCTAGAACGCAGCATAGTAGCTTTACGAAGAACTCGATTCATGAATGGACCATCATTGGCCCTTGCGTATTTCCTCTTCATCGGTGCATGCTTATTAAGTAGTTTTTCAAAGCAATTTTGAAAAGAACTGTAGTCTAAATCAGTTGTTTTAATGCTAGCCAACTCTTCCTTAAGTTCTCGTTTGAAAGTCTGCTCCGAAAATTTCTTATATTCTCTATAGTTAATAACAGTAGGTCCAGCTTTTTGGTACGTCGTTTTCAAAACTGTGACTATCATTTTGTGAAACTCAGAGAGACCTGTCTCGGTAGTGGTGGTATGTTGGAAGCTCCTATATCTGTTGGTTAAGATTAGGACAATACACCGTGGATTGTCAGCCTTGAAACAGGTTGGCTCCTTCACCAGATTTCTGAGGTCATAGCTATTCATAAAAGTACGAATCTGTTGATCTGTCTCTACTGTATTAAAATCCCCAAGTAATAAAAATTTGTCATATTTTTCACTGTAATGATCAACTGCTTTGCCAAGATTTTCGAAAAAGTGATCTTGTGATTGGGACGGTGGGTGTTGAAAACTTCATACTGATGGGTGTTGAAAAGAGCTCTAGGTGTAACGTAAAAATGGACAAGCTTCTGTCAGTTAGGACAAAAGAGAGAGAGGAAATCTAAACAATAGCTTTGATTTGTGTCCATATCATGGAGATAGAGTAAGACCGTTTTAGGTCACGGGAGATATATTGAAAGGCCTGAACCGCGACTATCTTGACGATGGGCATGATTTCTTGTGTTGCGCTTTTTTACATAGCCGGGGAAGACGGTAAAGAATTTTCAAGAAAAGAAAAAATTCGAATTGAATGCCCAAGAAGCAAAGATGGCGGTGAAATTTAGCTTAGATCTTCAAAAGAGCTGATATGGTGAGTGATTTTCTTGTCTTTTTCTGCCAGTTCTGCCAGTCCACTATACCTTCTATGGGTTTTTATTTTCTCTTCGATGTACTCAGAAAATTTTTCTTATAGGAATAAAATATCGACATTGACTACTCCAGTTGACTACTACACGCTTTGCATAAACTTAAAACTCATTTTTTCTTGATTTTTTCTAGGTCATTACACTCATTGCTAGAGTTGCGTCATTATGTTATCAAAAATTTTAATGTCGGGGGTCTTGTTTTTAATTGTGCACAATTGGACATTTTCTAACAAAATCCTGTTGGGGAGGGTTTTAGCAACTGCTGACAGGCCCTGGTCACCCTGGTAGTGGGAGCTAGACTTTTCAATGCTTTTCTTGTTTTCAAATGCCCATGACAATTCTGTCCAGAGATTCTCTCCCGCGCTAATGTTGAGCCTAGATGCGGAAGGTTATGTTTGGTGAAGCAGGGAAAAATATTCGTTATTTTATTTTATGTTTAACAGAAAATTTTATGTTAAAGATAGATTTACAAAAAGTGTTTCATTTCTAAACTTGCCGAATATTTTTCTCTCCACCGAAATTTCACAAATGCGACCGAAATGTTTATCCAATTATCCACCGAACGTACGAAAATTAATCCACCAAACTTTTTGAAACCAGATTTTTTGGTACTTAAAGTGTCTATGCAGCGAAATTTTATGTCCTGCTTTTTTTATAAGTTATATTTTCCTATCTTTTCCGATACGTTTGACACCAAAATTGTCATAATTTGACAAGCAAAAGTGTGCTCAATCAGAGTTTGAAGTTAAGTAGTACTTGCGAAAATCAAGGCCAGTTTGTGACGTCACAGTGATGAGTCGGGTCGACAGCAATCAGGAAACTGCGGTTGTACAGAATAGGTTTTAGTGAGGGAGATACGAAGAAGAATTGTGCAAAATTGTGATACAAGCACCAAAATTTCAGAAAACACCAAGTTTGATATGCTAAAAAAGATGTGATATAGACCCAAATCATATCTTGCCCATAAGATCTATTTTTAGACTGGGGTACTCCGGTCAAGACCCCTAATTATACTTTTTGTCATAAACGGAGAACGCTAGGTCATAGAAAGTTGAAATTCACGATAAAAAGACAGTTTAACAAGACAAAGAAGGTGTGACTTAGACCCGATTCATAATTTTCCCTAAATTCTATTTTTAGACTGGGGTACTCTGGTCCAGACCCCTAATTGTACAATTGGCCATAAACAGAGAATGCCAGTTCATGGAAAGTTGAAATTCACAATATAAAGGCAGTTTAACGAGCCGAAAAAGATATAAAATGAACCCAAATCATATGATGCCCCCTAAATTCTATTTTTAGACTGGGTACTCTGGTCCAGACCCCTGGCCACAAACAAAGAACGCCAGGTCATAGAAACATGGAATTTTCAATAAAAAGGCAGTTTGACATACAGAAAAAGATTAGCTATTGAACCAAATCATACCTTGCCCCTTAGTTCTATTTTTAGACTAGGGTACTCTGATTCAGACCCCTTATTCTACCATTGGCTATAAACGGAGAACGGAAATTCTGAATATAAAGGCAGTTTGATACGGTGAGAAAGATAGTTCATATTCATATCTTGCACTCTAAAAATAGAACAAGGGGAGCAATTTTCAGTCGGGGTCCATATCCTATCTTTATAGGTGTATCAAACTGCCCATTACTGCAAAGTGTCATGCTAGTATCACATTTTGCACAGTTCGACCCAACAAGTGATTTAACAGGCCTGACTAAATGGTTTCGCCTCGACTCATCACTGTGACGTCACAGCGGGAAATAAAATTTCGCAACGCAACTGCAAACAACGTACCAGAACCCGCCAACGGACGAAATGCATAAAACCGGAAACCTTGTTTACAGTCTGGAAATAAACACATAATCTCACTCGTAATTCCAGAAAGAAAACCCGAAACCGGGTGACTAGAATTGGTCAAACCCGAAACCCGTGAGATGCCAAAGCCCCCCTCTTAATTGCGATCACCTTTTTAAAACGATGATGAAGTATAAGGAAAATGTGATACATTTTATTCATCAAACATTGTATTCAATAGCCTAAACCTGCACAAAACGGAAATCCACAAACAATTCCTTTTCTCCAACAGTCAATTTTGCGGACTTCGTACTATTGCACGAGACATTGGTCTTGGTTAAGAGTTGGATTTCAGAATTGGCAGGCTGGATAGCCGTTGTGAAAGGTATTCGATGAATACTGAGGCTCAAGTTCGCCTGAAAATGCCACGCATAAGGGAAGGGATTGATAATCTTCAAGGTATGCGAAAAAGGGATTGTGAACTATACACTTCTTCACCATATACCACTTCCAAATAAAACTGTAATTTATACCTTGGCGATGAATAATCTTCGTTCACCTCAAGTCGTTCATATTTTTATAGGAAGCTTTGGTACTGTTGATGTACCTAATAAGGCATGAAATAGAATATCTTACATACAGACCATGAAGCCATAATAACTGTCCAAGTAAGGTCTTGTACATAATTCTATACCAATTTCACTCATAGTGTTTCATAAACTGTTTTTTGTAATCAGAACAGTCAAAGTTGAATTCCAAGTCAATTCAAGCGAATTGAGATGCTTTGAACTAAAGCAATGTTAAGATATCGTAAGAAAATTGAATTGTGGAAACTATGGTTGTCAAATTTTCTAAATCCTACTTCTTCTTAAGCACATACGATGTGCAATGATGTCTTTGTGCTCGAGTCAAGTCTTTAACATCTTCCCTTCTTTTATAGGCCACTTTGATAATTGTGTCAAGTCAGCCAGGAAAAACTCGATGACTAACATCGAATCCTTTGCAAACAACCAAAAACCAAAAAAAATACATGCAAGTGGCTCTTGCTCTTCAACTATTGTGAGGTTGGAAAAAGATATCGATAGCGATGTGGAGCGATCAGATGAAGAAGACAAAAAGTAAACACTGTTCTCTACATGGCACTGTTTTGTTGATATGATATTCAGTCAAGTCAAAGTATGGAATTTCAACTCAGTAACAGACAAACATTTTACTTTTTACGGATTGCAGTTCCCATTAAATTGAATAATATCAGTTAAATCAGGGGCGGATCCAGGATTTTTGGTGACTATAGCTCAAATCTTTTGGGATCGGAACCACGCCCTCCTTGCTTGTGGGACACGCCCACTATATGGGCAAATGATAAACCATGTGTGTTTATAGTTGTATCGTATTCATAAATATTCCTTCGAACATCCTTTTTCTATTTCCAGGGACGCCAGAGAAGGGGGTGTGGGGGTACAACCACCCCTGTTGCCCTTTGACAGAAGGGGCAAGGGTTGTTTTTAATAAAGTTCCCTTGAAACTGGCCAATTGTAATAATCAGAGAGATTCGAATGAAATTCTGAACTTCTCAAAACATGTAAAATAATTCCTTGTGCCGAAAGTTAGCCAATGTTGAAGATACCTACAGATAATAAAATTGCAGTTTCGTATGAATTTGTAGAAGCTGAGAATTATCTTTCAAAAGCCCTTTTACTCAAGCCTACCCTCCCCCCCCGCCCCCCCATCCTCTTGCCGCTTGGTCGTTCCGCCGTCCCTGTCTATTCCCTAGTAGATCCTTGCCTTTGAAGCTACATTACAGGGGACCCAGGATGTGAAAACGAGCAATAGTCTACTGTTGCTTTACAGGGGACAGAGAGCGGAGAAATACCGTGGATACTCATATTCTATTGGTTAAAAGGCCATTTTCAAACCTGACTATAGCTTGACTATAGCTCGCGCCAAAAATTATAGTACGGGTTTCATTGTCTTCGATGCCTTTTCCAGAGCAAATCCCCAGACCGACTATAGCTCGGAATATCCACTGTAGCTCAATTCTGGTTGGTTACTGTCAACAAAGAACGAAACTTCTGATTCGTCTAAGTTTTAATATTAGACCATTCTGCGCTCAGTGTTTTATATCTTATCTGGAGAGGCATTGTGATGACACATTGCCAGCAGTGCATGTTTGTTAACGCATTTGATAACCTATACCGCTGCTTTCAAATGTGAATTCAGAAAATCAAACATTGAGATTTTGACTATAGCTCGAGCTACAGTTGCTATAGTCTGGATCCGCTCCTGAGTTAAATAAATTCACATATTGTTTCAGTTGTAGGGACTAGTGTCTTACATCGTTGTCTGTGTTATTTGAGTAGCAATCAAAAGTCTATTTACAGGCAGTTGGAATATAATTCGAAAAGCTTTTGATGACAACAATTGTAATAGTGCATAAGAAATTTTATAAAGTAAATATAATACTGTAGCTCATGATCAAGTTTCGAAACAAGTTATTTTTTTAATCAGTTCTCGAAATTTCCTTTGAATTTTCTTCACTAAAATTCACTCGATGTGTTTGTTGCGTATTGTTTGTTACCAGGAGCTCAGATAAGGAGGATTATTCTGGTTCAGACATCGATTTGGACAGCCTCAGTGACGTTGCACTGTCAGACTTTGATAGCGATAGTGAAGAGCCTGTATCATGTCATTCAGAAGGGAATTCCGATGAATATGATGACGACGCCAGGTGGATAGCGTACAAGGTTGAAAAGGCAGATCCGTTGTGCTACAAGTTTGATAGCCTTCTACGAAGTGGTTTAATCCCGAAAACAGGAATTCTCTACAAGTTCCTCACTGAAGTCGTTGAATTTTTTATGATCCTAGGCACCAATACGGCAAGGATGAGACAGAATTTTTCAACAGCATTAGACAACTTGGAGGAAGGCGAACTGTCAACTTCATTCGAGGACCTGTGGACAATGGAGAAGGAAAGAGAGGATCCAAACAGTCAAAGGAAACATGCGAAATGAACTTTGGTGGACCATCAGAAACTGTATGCAACAAACATCAAGCTGGCTACACGATAAAGTCTGGAGTTATAAAGCCTCTAAGCTTGGCCCCTTTGAAGCTATGTGATAGGAGTGATGCACCAATCAAAAATCTTGTTGGATCAGAGGTAGTTCATGTCTTTCCTTGTGTTTTATGTAACGCCAAAATTCATACGGGAAAATATAGTAACAGAAACAGACTTTGCAGAAGAAGAGTTTTGTTAGGTGTAACAGCTGATTGTGAAGAAGGCAACAAGAATGCATTTGAAAAGATTCAGTCTGCACGGAGCAAGAAAAACATCGAACCTGACTTGTCACTATTGTCCGTGATTCCTGATTGCCCCCATGTAGGCAAGAGTCTGAAAGCTAGCTTTTTCAACTGGTTTCTCAAGCTTGGTAATGAAAGAGGTAACCTGTCAATTCTGCGAAATCTTCGAAATCGATCCACGCCTGAAGTGAGTAAGGTAGTTAAAAGCCTCATTCCGAAGAATGACTTTGTTAGAAAGAGAGACCGCCAACACCCATCGGCTGTCCTTGCACTGACAGACGAATCTTTGCTGGATCTGTCACTTCAACCATCATTACTGAAACTGGTAAATTCACTGTAGACAATCGACCAGGAATGCACCAAAAGCCATTTAGGATTACAGTTGGATATTATGGCTGGATCTACCTTCTTTGTTTAGACCTTGTCCGCTGAAGAATAACTAGGGTTTAAAAGAAAGTATAAAAGGTACCAGCTGTCAAAAGATCTTCTGTTGGAACATGTACGAACGTCTGTGGAAACGAGTACTTCCAAATTGGCTCATCAGTCGTAGACCAGACGAAACTGGAAATTTTGATTCCCAGTTTCGAGTTCTTTATCAATTTGGGATATTGAATTGTGATGGTAACCGGGTTTTACGCTGTTTTTTGGGGGTAAAATGGGGGTCAAATCCGGAGAAGTTCCTGCTTATCCTCTGCGAAGGAAAAACTAAACAAAGAGCATTACCACGCCAATACAGATAAGATAAACGTGGAATCTTACTGAGGAAATCAAGAGCTAGAGCTACGAGTATGATGGACTTGCTACAAGTCTCTCTCCTTCCCTTCCATTTTTCTTTTTTTCCTTTTCTATATTTTCAGATTATTAAATGGATAGAGAGAGACCTGTAGCAAGTCCACAAGTATGAATGATAGGTAGGAACAGCACACACGACGAAAAGCAATCCATTACCAATCAATACAATATAATAGACCAAAATTTAGCAATAAATTATGATTTTGATAGGACTTAATGTACTTAATTGTCTTTCTTGACTCGTAAGTTAAAGAACTTGTCTTTTAAAGTCAGCAAATGAATAAGCTTGCGTTTTTTCTTTACCATACAGTGGACGGATCATTGTAGAATCTGTGAGGGCATATCTAAACCTTCGCAGTTGAGATATGCCCTCGCATTAGGACGAATTCCTTATGGATTTAAGAAAAAATGGGCTTTGGAAAAGTCTAGGGTAGTTATGACAAACAGTAAAAGCAGTAGTTGTTTTGTTCCGGAGAACTTGTGTGTGTGTGTGTGTGGGGGCGGGTTTAAAGCTGAATAAAAAGAGGATTGATTGTGGTCAATCTCTTAATTCTTTACGCTAAGCCCCCCTTATGAATAAACCGTCACAATCTTAAAGCGTGATTTTTCATAAACAAGATATCACAAATAAACAAACATAGAAAATTAAACTGAAAATAGGATCTAAGCGAAGTTTGTCGACAGAAGTCTATTCTTTCAAGATGTTCTTGTTGATGGCAGTCATGATTTTTAAGGAATATCTTGTCTTAGCAGCAGGCAATGGAAATCATAGAGTAAAATAATGATAATGTGTCTAACAAATTTCTTTTGCTTTTCACAGGACTATCATGGACCAAGTTATGGAAATGGCTGGCCTATCGAAGACAAGAAGCAAAATTATGATTATGTTGGTTCATCTGAAACCAATGGTGTCACTGTCTTGAAATTCAAACGCAAGTTAGTTACTTGTGACAAAGAGGACAGAGATATTCCTGTAAGTTTGTAATTTTTTCTGGTGTATGGCTCTTTTTTTCGTAGAAATTGTAGCCAAAACACTTAACGATGTCTCAGCTTTTTCAAGTCTTCTATGTAGCATTCAAGAGAATAACTTGCAATAGATATGGACTGATAGATATTCACTGCTGATTCCTGTAGGGTTTTTAAGGGATTTCTTCGTGTGATTTCAAATGTTTTCTTGATTTAAGGAGACATGGAGACACTATGATCATTTGTCGTTGGAGTGAACAAAAATGTCCCGAATAAATAGAAAGTGCATTATTTAGCTTTGACGACATGGAAAAGAAAATTTTCAGGTCAATTTCTAATCAATTTTTTTTCCTGTAAAGTTTTTTTGTATAGTGATTGTTTGTTTTAGCTTGGAACATCCAAGGTGATCTATGCACATGGGCCTACCGATACTTTCAGCAAACATCAAACGAACGACAGGGGAGCAAGAAGTATAAATTTGTTGAATTATGTCAAGAACGTACCACCACCCAAAACAGCGAAATACTTTGATGTCATCAGCGCAAACGTGAGTAAAATGGAAGTTGTTATTTTTTGAAACAGCCGATGAATTTGCTAAAATGTGAATCTAGACCAGTGTAGCAATAGTTTGCCCTTACAAGGATTATCTATCTCTCAAAGATTTAAGATGCTTGTAAATAATAATTGTTGATAAACTTTGTTTTCTTCATCAGAGGCGGACTGGTAGCGAATCTTTTGTGTTGCTAATTCAGAAAAGAGCCCGTATTGAACAAGCTAATAAAAACCTTTAAAATACATATTATTACCCTTTCTTTAAAACAATCCACTTGAAGGAATTTCTGTGACCAAAAATAGTTCAAGCCACAGGTTTGATTGTTTGGGTTTTTTTCAACAAATGAACTCAATAGTTATAGGAAGGGGTGGGGGACAGAAAATGTAACGAGTAATTAGTTTGCAACGCAATGCCCAACAAGCAATTCTATTTTTTGTGCTACAATCTCGTGCTACAAACGGTCTTTTGAGTACCTTCTTTAGCAGGGGCGTACACTTGGTCAAATATTAGGGGCAAGGTTATTGTTTTAGTAAGATGACGTCACGTTTCCCCATTGTTTTAGAACAAGAGACCATTGTCCTCTAAAGTATTGGGGGTGACCGCTCCCGCCCACTTTCAGGTGCCCACCACTATTCTTTAGCCTGATCATCCGAATTATAACTGATTCAACAATACTTTTCCAAAAAAAACGAAGAGTTCTTGCCTTCACCTCAACTCAATTAAATAATCAGTTCGCTTTGAAATGCAGGTGAAGCGCATGCCTTCTGATTGATTATATGCGCATACTTTTCTCCATTTGAAAGAATCAAGTGATTCGAGGTGTGGCTGTTCAATAAAGGTTTTGACTGAAAAAAGTCTTTTACTTTAACTGAAATTACGCAATTTGGCATAATTCACCGAAGACCCCCTTGAGCACAGATTATTCGATGAATGAACGAAATCATAGACCAACATGAAGCTCTCTGGTTTTTTTGGGTTCGTTTTACTCTTATTCTACGCTGTAAACGCTTCTGGTTGAACTTTCTGTACATACCGGTGTTGGCTATCTTGTTTTGCCATAAAAATTTGAATATGAATTAACAAAGCTATCTACTTAAAAGAAGTATTAGCAACATTGATGCAGGAGACAACAGCCTGAAATGAAAAACAGCGCACAATTGTTGAGCACCTTGGAAGATACATTAAGACAAATGCAGGAGACAACAGCCTGAAATGAAAAACAGCGCACAATTGTTGAGCACCTTGGAAGATACATTAAGACAAATGCACGTGTTTAGTTATGTGGGCGATCTAATTTCGTCATAAGCACTTGAATTTGCATCAAGACCAATGAAAGTGCACTTTTTAGCAAGGGCCCTCGACTTTCGTTATAAGAATTTGAATTTTGCATTAGCAGAGTTATCTTTACTGAAGAGAATTCTTATGACGAAACTATATACTGTGATTGTTACCCTAAAAGCTATTTTCTCCTGCATTCATGTCCCCATATGGTGTGGGTCAGCTTTTATTGTCAGAAGAAATGTAACAATAGCTGATAAATAGACCATAACGACTACGGATGCGTGTTTGTAAAGACATGTTAACATTTCAATCCACTGTGAAAATTATGTTACATTTTGCTACGCTTAGCCTCAATACTTATCTATAGGGCCCTGTCATAAATGTTACCAATAAAATTGTATCAATTTCAGTCTCTCGGTCGTATTTTATGGAATACAGATCATAAAATTGTTGACCACTTTAGTAAGCTCCACTTTAAATTGAAGCAAGCGAACATGAATAAAATTTTAAAAATCCGCCATGACACAATTATCTGTCAAGGTGTTTTTGATTGACTTGCAACGGCCATGACATTGCTTGGTTGGCATATAACCCTCAGCAATCCTTGTATTAAAACACACTGTTGCTCCAGACAACCCTCCAAATGGCTGCGGAAACTCCAGTGAGGCTGTTTAAGTGGCTGATCACTTCTGCCCCTCCAATTGACCATCGCCATCGATCATCGATTTCAGGGATCAAAAGTTGCACTCCTTTTAAAATCGAGGTTAAAGCCCTCTTCTCTTTCAGAGGCCAATCTTACTAATTTTATTTTGGGGCGACTTTGTTCTGTGTTTTCGTTCTGAAGGGTTGTGACGTGCATCATTTTTTTTTTGGGGGGGGGGTGGTTATATTTTTAGGGTCCTTTTCATAAAGTAAATCAATTTCATGGAAATCGGGTTTCCTTAACAGAACAGTGGGCCTCGATTTCCCTATAATAATAGTGGGCCTAGAATCATCGAATTTTGTCGGAAATACGAAGATAAGGGAGCTGTCAGCAAAGCCTGATAGTGTGTCCTAAGCAAAGTCGAAATTTCTTCTTTCTTCTTCTGTTTTCAGTCAATCACTACTGTTCCAGTTATATCATCACTTTCATCTACATTTCTAGGTGTTAGTGCCATCCGATAAAACAACGTATTGGTGCTCAGCATATAAGTTTGCCGACTTGGTTCAACTGACAGAAAAACAACACGTTGTTGAAGTAAGCTTTGTGAATATTTTTATACGTCAACAATTACACCGGGTTTTCAAGTTATTCTATGTTCTTTTTGTAATTCTTATTATCAATATTTTACCTAATCAATTGAAGTGATCTTTGATCAGACGAATGGCATTAGAACTTAAAACACAAAAATCATAAATACAGTAATTACCCACCTGTTAAAGACCGCTTTTTTAAACTGAGTTTCTTATTAGCAGAGACCTTTCATCATCAGGTAGAAGTTTTTTGTTATCATAATAGGCAAACAATACGATATAAGGTAGTGCATAGGTAAGCTATTTCTTAGGTAGTTTGTATAAACTAATTAGCAACGAGAAGAAATGTTTCATATTGGCTTTATTCAATATTCCATAGTATGGGGATCATTTTATACAATGTGTTTCTGCCATGCTTTCTCGAGGAGTAAGGTAATGCTGTTATGGATCCTATAGTGCCTTTTTGGATATATAAAAGTAGCTAAATTTGTTGCCAATGGGCTGAGGTATGATCAGTAAAATACCTGGAATTTACTAAAACATTACCGTTGTTTTTGCTTGGTTCAAAGAAATTACAGTTTTTATAGGAAAGGAAATTCTGGACATTTTAAAGAGATTCGGCTACTTTTAAAAAGATTCGACTTGATTCGATTCCACTTGTATCTGTCAAAATTAAAAAAGTATTCTGATTGTAAAGAGTGACTTCATTACTTCTCCGCTATGTTTAAAATAAACAAGTCTATTTGGGGCTTCTCTGTTGCAGATCGAACCGATTATTGCATTGAAAGATCGTGGTGTGGTGCATCATATGGTGCTCTACATTTGCAAGAACACCTTCAACGACTCCCATTTGAATGCTACAGGAAGCTGCTTTGATTATCGCAATATGCCGCCCTCGATCACCGAATGTGCTGGAATAAGCCCGATGTTTGCATGGGCTGTAGGAGGAGTGGTACGTACAGAGCTAGACCAAATGTTTGCGATCCTTGACAGTGTTTGTTTCATCTTCCAAAAAGGCCTCGCTCGGATGCTATCTCTTTCTATATTGTCTCTCGTCTCCGTGCCAACATTGGTAGTAGCTGGCGAGCAGACTTTAAAAATTTGAAGACTTCTCTTGTATGAGCAATTTTTAAAAGAAAACAATTTCAAGCAAAGGGAAGGAGCGACAACGGTTTTGCACCTTAGTACGAAAGTTGTAATTTTAGTTTGTTCTGTCAACAACAAATACATATACTTTTATTCGATCTCCAATTTTGAGTTATAAAATTTTTTACAACTTTTCTTAAGAACTTCAAGTTTCCTGATCATGTTGGTTGGTCAATTGGAGCGGCAGACAGTTTGCGGTACTTTGTCTTAGAGACGCACTTTGACAACCCAACTCAAAACAACAGTAAGTTATTTTTGGTCTCTACTGCTAAACGTATAATCTAAATATGTTTATTAATAGGCATTGTTTAGGAAATTCTGCACAAATCATTATGAGTTTTAGAACTTAAAGAACGTTATTTAAACTGCTGTAGAATCTTTCTTTGTCTTTGGATCTTCAGTAAGTCTTTGGATCAAAGTGGATCCATTGTGGTCCAGGTACGTCAGCCAATGAAAAAGTGTAAGGTTGTTGGATAAAGAATTGGATATTACCCAGTTATAATTGCAGTAAATAAAAATGAAAGGCTCAAGAAAACGGAGACTTCATTATGCGATTCCATTATGCGTCTCCTATTATTATTTACTTTTAACTAGATCTCGTTGTTACGAATGGCCTTCGATTATATTACGACAAACCTCGCAAATACGATGCTGCAACACTCACAGTGGGAACCTTTACTGGCAGAAATTTGATTATACCGCCAAACCGTGAAAAATGGATGATAACAGGAAGTTGTACAAAGACGTGTACTTCAGTAAGTATTATTGGTGTTTCTTTTTGCCACTTTTAGCACTTCTTTTTGTAAAACTTAGGTGACAGTCATCATTATCATCATCATCATCATCATCATTATCTTCATCATCATCATCATCATTATCATCATCGTCATCATCATCATCATCATCATCATCATCATCATCATCATCATCATCATCATCATCATCATCATCATGTCATATTTATACACGAAAACCTTTTCAGCTGATCTAACTAATTTGTTGAGTAGTTCGATAACAGAGATCTGGGGACAAGTCTCCCTTTTAGACCGTCCGGGCAGAGACCATTCACTATTTTATATATTATTACTGCTTTGTCATATTGTATCATATTTGAGACTGACAGCCAATTACATCTCCACCCATTCTTTAACCTAGAGTTCTCTATCAAAGTTTTAGCTCTAGTTTGTAAACGTTGAAGATGTTGGAGCTTTGTGTTCGATAATTCCCCCTTAGCTCTTCACTGTATCTCAGATGACTTTCAAACAGTGCCTTTCAAACAGAGTTGGTATAATCTTCAGTTTCCGAAGGGACGAGAGGACGGCTTTAATTTTACATTTGAGCTTTTTATAATGCTCATTCCATGTTAGATTTTCGTCCACAGTAATTCCAAGGTATTTGACTTTCTTGGCTTTTTTGATTGATTCTCCTTTAATGCTTATCTCTACTGGTCTAAGGATGTGTTTGGTGTGTCGTTTGTGACCTATTACCATATTGACATATTTGAGGTGCATTTGTTGAGGCATTGTTTGAAGTCATTGACATACAGGACAAAGAGGATAGGTCCCAAGCACGAGCCCTGTGGAATACCACAGTGAACAAGTTTTTGGCTGGATTTTTGGCCATTTACTTGACAATATTGCTTTCTGTTTGTCGAGTAGGACGCGAACCACCGAAGTGGAGTCCCTGCTACCCCGTATTTAGTTAGTTTTGAGAGGAGAATTGCGTGGTCTACAAAATCCGATGCCTTCTTAAGGTCTAGAAATATGCTTTTGTTAATTTTGCGTTTGTCAATATTGGAAAGCCATGAATCTCTTATATTTAAAAACGTTGTTAGGGTGTAATTCATCTTTAAGAATGCATGTTGGCATTTAGAAAATTTGTTATATACCTTTAGGTAGTTTTAGACTTTATCATGTCCAAGTTTTTCTGTAAGGTTTTGATAGCTCAAAGTTGAAGAAAACTGACAATTTTTCTTTCTTTTCAGTACCTAAAAAATGCTAATGCACTGAATGGGGACGAAGTCAAATTTTTTGCCTCCTTTCCACACGCCCATACAATTGGCAAAGGTATATGGACAAAAATGGTTCGAAATGGGAAAGAGGTCATGGAAATTATCAGGGATGATAATTACGATTTTGATTATCAGGTTTGTTGAAAATGTATTCCTCCCAAAAATTTTTATATTCTATTGTCTCTTTTCTAATGATATCTTTGTAATTGTCCTTTACTCATTAGAAGTCGCCTTTTTGTTTGCGTAGCTCTATTTAGATTTCCAAAGACATTACTGTTCCACGGCTGTGAACCAGAATAAGGATATCTGACACTGCTTGTGTTGCTCGCCGAGATCTGCCGATTCATATATTTCTGCCGATTCATATATTTCTGCCGATTCATATATTTCTACTAATTCATATATTTCTGCTAATTCATATATTTCTGCCGACTCATATATTTCTACTAATTCATATATTTCTACTAGTTCATATATTTCTGCCGATTCATATATTTCTACTAATTCATATATTTCTACTAATTCATATATTTCTGCTAATTCATATATTTCTGCTAATTCATATATTTCTGCTAATTCATATATTTCTACTAATTCATATATTTCTGCCGATTCATATATTTCTGCTAATTTTTGTATATTTTTGCCGACTCATATATTTCTACTAATTCATATATTTCTGCTAATTCATATATTTCTGCTAATTCATATATTTCTGCCGATTCATATATTTTTGCCGATTCATATATTTCTGCCGATTCATATATTTCTACTAATTCATATATTTCTACTAATTCATATATTTCTGCTAATTCATATATTTCTGCCGATTCAAATTTTCCTGCCGCTCTTAATTAAATCTGCCGTACCTAATTGATTCAAACGTCGCACATGCCATGTAGATAATTCTTGATTTAAATTCGGCACATGAGACTTTCGACGTTTAAATTGGGCCTTAGTTTTGTTTAAAGCCAGTGCATGACCTGTCAAGAGTTTATAAAATTTGAGGAAGTTACCAAGCAGGATTGAGGAACACGGTGTATTGGGACGCTCAGTTTTTTTTAAATGTTTGGAATACCTGAAAAGTAATTATCTGTAGTTGAGGAGTCTATAGGTTCTGCAAATTTAAATTTCTTGCATGAAAATTATAACACAAATTCTAATACAATTTTCCGTTACAATTAATACAATTCTAATTGATTTACCGTTGTGTTTTCTTCTACCGAAGTATAGATATCTTCTATTTACGTTCTATGTCTAAGAAACTTTAACTCAAAAGATAAAAGAAACTTTGGGGAGGGCAAGTATGATTATCCTAATGTTGACGCGACTGGGCATATTCAGCCCGAGCAAGGTTGACGCGTTTTCTGGGCTCGCTCCTTTTCCAACTACTATTACAAAGAATGTTTGTTCGCCCCGAACTGCCTACAATTTATTCTATCTTATCTTTGGAGAGTTTGGGATCGACCCCGTCTCTTGTAAACGCTTTAAAAAGGTTGGATCGACCCCAAATTGCCAAAGATTGGAAAGAAGGTTAGGTTTTAACAACTGATGGAAACTTCCTCGCCCACCAGATTAAAACTACAAAACAAGATTGAGGAAGTTTACCCACTTTTTTCTTTGTGCTATTTATGGAATAAGCAATACGCGTGCGCATTCTTTCAAAATGGGCCTGGAGAGCAGTACGTTCCGATCAGGGATCGTTCCCAATATATTTTGGGATCGACTCCATGTAGACATTTGTGAAGGCATAAGTCTTGGATTCAGTCCGGCTCGATAAGAACCGAATTGGTTAACATGTGTGCTACGTTACCTAGAAAAATTTTTTAAGTAAAGTTGCCTTTCCTACAACCAGTGTCATATTGAAAAGCTCTATTTTTTTAATATCTATTTGGATATATATCGTTGTGCCAAACTTAAGAAAAGAAACAGTTATGTATTACTTTTGCAACTGCTCTTTTTTGTTACTAATCAATACCTTTCTCAATTCAGATTGCTTTTTCATTCATTTAATTTTATTGATTTTCCTTCCCAAAACTCTTTTTAGCAAACTCATCTTCTTCGGAAAGAAATCACATTTAAAGCGGTAATTTTTCTGCTTGCATTGCATAATTTGTTTGTCGTTTATTTGTTACAAAGATGTTAAAGTTCTTAACAAATTATTTTTCTGGGAAACATTTTATTCTGTGGTGATGCCCTAATATTTTTCGTACAGAAATGCCAAATAACTAATGTTTTCTACTTAACCGAAATGCTACATATCACAGGAAAATTTTTAGCTCTTCTGCCACGGAAACACCTTAAGTGTTCACGTATATCTTGAATTCTGTGAAGATGCTCACTTGCTATGATTATCAATGCAGGGGTTTTCTAACGTACCAAAGGGCGTGGTCACAAAAGTTGTATAGGAAAGCTTCTGGACTATTTCCAGTTAGGATCTCTAAGGTTCATTCCCCTTTCAAAGCTATTCACCTTGTTTGCCTGTCCCAAATTCATTTTTTTATCCATATTATATTAGGTATTAGAATTGACTTGCATTCAAAGGCATTTTTCAGCAAATTTTCTTTTTGTTCACCCTACAAGCAAGTGATTTATGAAACATTTTTAACTCAGGGAGATGAACTCATTAACTACTGTCGATACAACAGCATTGGCAGAAAAAATGCTACCTTTGTGAGTAATTAATTGTTCGAACTCATCTTATTTCGCCGTGTCATGTTTCTTGTTACTCCTTTAACCTTTAAATGAAACAACAATCGTGTTTAAGTAATGCTGTGTGTTATCTTTGTTTGTGTTTTGATCTTAGTTCAAGCAACACGATGCGCCTACATTGAAAATATTATCCCCAACAGTGTTTTTATTTGATTGGCTGCAAAATGCAAAGTGAATCGACACTGTTCAAATATTTCAATAAAACGCTTGATATCCTCCTTCTATGTACTTTCAATTACAATGCATTGAGATTCTCTCTACAGGGCGGCGAGTCAACCGTAGATGAAATGTGTCTGAATTTTATAATGTATTATCCAAATGTGGATTTGGCAAGTTGTTCGTCAGGATATTACGGTGGAATGGACAGTTTCAAGAAAAAATATGGAAAACAGGGTAAATGGGGGAAGTAAGTTGCCATAAAATCTAGAACTTTTGTATCGAACTTTTGTATTTGTAACAAACTTAGTGAATGCAAAACACAGGGTTGCACTTGAAACTATTTCATGATGAGTTAATTTATGATAATGTATTACGCTATTAGCATGTGCAGCTGCTTATACGGGATCAAGCAATTTATGACAGATCGTTAACATTGATTTTCATGATAATATAATATGTAGACAAGGAACAGTTGCCTGATGATCGCATTAAGCGTGAAACTCGGAGTAGCACCTTAGATTCATCCTGTTCTTTATGCCAAATAGCCTCCCATCAATTTTTGAATTCTTTATGCCAAATAGCCTAGCCTGATATAGAATGAGGAAGTACTCGTTAGTTCATATTTTCACTATTATCAAATTGCAGATAGTATTCCTACCAAAAGCTTCATCTTGAGAACTTTATTTCTCCTCTTCTAGCTACACTTACTACCACTTGCATGGGGTTACATGGAGTGAACCGATGATTGATGAGCTCGAAAACATTTACAACAGAAAAGTGAATAGTACGATCAGAGTTCTTTGCTCAGGGACAAATGGGACAATTAAGGTATTTGAGAGCCATTTCTTGAAGGAGCCTTTTAATTAATGTACTAGCATTAGATTATTGAATCACCCATTCCTCGCATCCTCATAGTTGGGTGGCAACCTCGAGCCAACGTATCGTGCAAATATTTTTCGACATAAAAAGGCTAAGAATGTTTGCAGAGTTTAGCCCTTATGAGCGATCTCAATCTGCATGAAATGTTGAATAAAAACTAAGAAATGCTGAAGGAATGCTGAATTATCATGTCTAAAATATAACCTCTAATAGTCTTTGTATCTGCTACTTTATCCCATAAACTAATAAGGCTGAATTTTTTCGCAGATTTAACTTTTTTGAAAATTATGCTTGCTTTTTGATTCATAAATTTTCTAAAAGCTTTGATTTTGTACATTACTTTTGCAGAAAGTTGTTGTGGTGAATCGACCAGTCATCACTCAGGCCTTGCCCCCGCCTAAAGATGTTTGCACGGATTCAGTTGGAGGGGCAGTGTCCTTCCAATCGACTGGGGTTTTCGCTCTTTTGATAAGTTGCGTCATCGCATCAATGCTGTTAGTTACAATCGCACAGTGATCCAAGAGATATACCCTAGCTGACTGCTGTCTATTTTAGACGTGCTGAGACTCCTGGTTTGCTGGACGACTGCTTTTCCTAACTGTTTTACTTTTTGGATGTATTTGTACACACCTGCTACCTGTAAATTTAGTACCTTCAAGATATCGACCTTACTGGATGATTTGTAAACTTAAGTGATATAATTAAATTTTGGGTTTTTTTTGTTCTTGAAATATCCAGATTTCATTGACTATTAAAGACAATCGGAAATCCATCAATCAAAAGATTTTTCCGTATATCCTTTTTTTAATCATTGATACCCTTAATTTCATCTGTTTTCGTAGCTGAAAATTTTCCATAGTTCGGATCAAGCCTGAACATTTAATTTATCAATATTATCAATCAATATATAAAATATCTTACATATAAGAATGTTGTTTCATTTGTATATTCATAGCTTGTAAATTTATTTCAAAATGTGATTTATTTGGAGCACAAAAATTGTCCGTTTAGGCCATTAAGGCTCAATCTTTACTCTCTCTGCTAGCAGACCCTTTTCATTTTATGGTTTATCCTTGTTCTAGAATTTGAGAAAAGAAATAAAGCGAAAATGATAAACATCCCGTGGTATAGATCTTACCCAACACTACGGGTGAAAATGTCAAGATAATATATTATAGAAAGTTAAAGTCCTTCGAAATATCTTACAAAAGAAACAACACAAAAGGCATTGCTTTTTGCTATGACAATGCTTTTCAGACCATAGTTGAACATTTTTTTCACAATAACAGCTCGGTTATTACATCGTACACCCTTGTAAGCAGTAAAGGACCTCCAGAGACCATAGAAAAAATAATTTTCTAACTCGGGAATGAAATACCATGCAAAATGAAAGGCAAAAGTCAGAGGGGTACCTTCCCACATCATTAAGAGCGAGTAGGAACGTTGGTTCATTGGCGCAAGTCGCTTAACCTGCCACAAATAACTAATAGGAAGGGGTTACTAAGAAAAGTTACACAACAACCCCCGAATTCGATTGATAATGGGGAGGAAATGGACAAGAAAAGTCACTTTTCCCACCAAAGAATCAAAAGTCCCTCTTCTCTCCCCTTTTTCGACGCCAGCCATCCAGTGGGACACGTAATGCCAAGAAAAGATTAAGACAATAAACGACTCACTAGCAATTGAGCATATTCTCGAGTACGATGCAAACCACGTTTTATTCTGTCGCTTAAAAGAGTGAGATTTTGGTTTAAAACTATCTACCTGAGAGAGTCCACTTTTTTGTTGTTAACCCTTTACCTAAGAGGGGCCACGCCACCTTTACACATTTTAATCTCTACTCGATAGGGGCCAGCTTTTTTAATACGGTACCTTTGAGAAACCCCCTTTTCCAACCATCGGCCTGAGAGAGGTCAGGTCACATATAAACACAGACGTGACAATCGTATCCACCATAAAATGCAAAATGAAAAGTATAAAATGCAAAACGGATTGTCAGTTGTCAAGTTTGATTTTATCAATTGACATAATCTTTACTAAAATAGTCCTATCCTACTAAGCAACATTATTGTTTCAAGGGTGCATTTGATTGAGAGGGATCTTTAGAGGTTGGGGGTGGTTAAAATACCGTGATTCCGCAAGAATATTTTGATACTACTGTGGTAGAATCTTAAATATATAGCAGTTTGAACAAAATTAATTTCAGTTAAGTATCGAATAATGTCTGGGATTTTCATTACCTGAATACCTCCCAATTCAAAGAGAGATTAACGACAAAGGAAAGGGCAAATACTGCAATACTGTCAACCCCAAAAACCATTGAGAAGCAACCTGCAATGCTATACTATGGCTATACTATGGCAATGCCAAAGAAAAGGTGCAACTAAGCCCCAACTCTTGAACAAAATCATAGATGCTTAACAGAGTTGATCATGATAAACAGAACAGACAAATAATAAATTTCATACTGACATGTCAGCACCAAAAACAGAAAGGCTCAAACTTGCAAGGACCATGAGTTTTAAAAGCCCATGCCAAATACAAACTTTGTAAGCATCACTGAACGAATTGATTCTCCGCGCATCGTTCTCTAATCTATGGAAATCTCGGGCTTTCTATCTGCATATTGCAAAAATGATTCTAATTCAGAGCGATGAAATTTTTAGCTGTGTCATGAATTCTTCAAATATCGTGAAGAAATAGACAATTTCCTACGATTCCTTTTTTTTTGAAAAACATTTGTAGTTTTTTTTTCTTGTAGAAAATGACTTGTAGAAAATCCATTAGTGATCAGATTTTTTCAAAATTGTGCACATAATTTTGCATGTTTCTTCATATTCATAATTCAACACATTTTATAAAACTGATATCGACAATTCTGCATATTTCAGAAAAAAGTACACCTAAATAATGGCACACCCCTGTACCTCAAAACCTTTTAAGATACCCCCCCCCCTAGTTTTACTCAAATATAATTGCAAAGTGCATGATTTTTCCATAATATGAACATTTTCTTATAATAAAATTTGCATGAAGACTACAGAGCTGCCCTAGATCTAAACCGCTCGTTTTCAGTAATTGATAAGGCGACTAATATCTTATTAGTCAGTTTTCGCATTTTACAAACAACTGCATCAAAACTTGTACTTGCAAAATTTTACATTCTCGGACGATGTGTAAATTTTAATAAATTATAATAAGCCGCGTCCTACGAGGCATAGTTCAGAAGATTTGGCCTCAACTGAAAAATTAGCTAAAATTTGGCCTAAATGAAAAATTTTTCATCCCCAATTTGTATCACAACAAGTTGTTAGAGATACATTAAAATGCTCTTTGCTGTTATTAGTCACTGTTGCCCCGGGCGCACTTGTAACGAAATTGAAGCCTTGACACCCGTATACGAATATTTAGGCACTTTTCGGTTGCTAGTGCATCCGGGCCCTGTATAAATTTGCGTACATTTTGTAGGGTCTAAATTTAGGCCATTAAATTCACTTATGTTCATTTTCTTCCCTTGCATTATTTGTTTACAACCATTCATTGCTTGTTTTCTACAAGCTTACGTAATTCTATATACCTTATACTCTATGCTAATTACATCTTGAATCTCACTGTTGTTAGTCATCATTTCCATTCTTTCCTTTGTGCATAGCTTGATAAAGTTTTTCAGTTTTTTAAGCAATTTGTAAATATTAGTCAGGCAGCAGAATTCACGAAACAATGCACATGCAAATCACTTCTTTCTGGATCCATGTCGTTTGTCGTTCAATGAGAACTTTGGTGTAACATCGATCGCTGTTCCGATGAACACAATAATTTCAACACACTGTTAGACAAGTTCAAGTTTCAAATTCACTATAGGTTAGGTTTACTACAACGGGTATATTTATACAGGATAAACATTTCAACAATTACAACATCGCTGTTATCACTGTGTGTCCTTTGCCCTAGACCTCAAATGATATTTAGAGAAAATTTACTACATTAAAAACGTTGATAAAACTTACAAGAATAGGATCTATAATACCTAATAAAACCTAATTTCACATCGAAATAAAATAATGTTTGTCACTGTCCTGCAAAATGATTTTTGAGTTTTTTATGATGTGTGTCCTTGTCCGAAGTATGTCTAAAGGTAGCTCATTGTACACTTTAGAGCACATATATTGAAACGATTTTCGTGCATATTCTTTTTTAATAATAGGTAATCGCAGAGTGCATTTGCTGCTTCTTGTTTCCTTTTCTATTCGCATTTATGACTGTCATGAGCCCTTTGTCTGCCGTTTCATCAACATAGACTATCTTCAATAAACGAGAATGAAATGAGGAAAGTCTGCTTATTTGTGTATTTGTGAGCTTCAGTTGCAATATACCATAGTAAGTAAATGTTGGAAGAATCAAAGAACGATAGATTGTACTAGCTGTAGCATTGTCCATGAACGACCTTAATTTTGCTAGAAGTCGTAATCTACCGATGAACAAGGTCTCATAAAGTATTTAGGACAGCAAGTTATATCATGAAATATATTTAATAGGTTCTTAGGTAGTTGATTTCTTTGCTTCGTAGACTGGACATATACTCTTCTATCTAACTAAGCACGTCAGATTACGCCAGAAAACAAAGTTTCAGTTGTACAACTTAGTAAAGTAGTCATAAAGTTTTAGTGCGATAGCCAACAGTGGACTAGGTATAAGTTCCTCAGTCCAAAAAAGCCTTTGGTGAAGTTTTAAACCTAGCTCTACGTTTCCTTTTATCTAGCACTTCGGATTACGCCGGGAAACAAGGTCAAAGTCGTATAACTTGTATAGTTACAAAGTTATGGTGCAGAAATGCAAGACCCAATATAGGACTGGGTACAAGTACAGTAGTCTAAAAATTGTTTTTGTGAAATTTTAAAGTTGATTTCGCATCTCGTTTTATTCAGCATGTCAAAAAAAATGTTTCAGTTTTATAGCTTGCAAAGTTAAAACGTTGTAGTGCTATACCTAAAAGAGGACAGGGTGCCAGTACCCCAGTCTAAAAATAGCTTTCAGGGGCATTTTTGAAGCTTGATATGTACTTCATCTTACTCAGGATATCAGATTGTGTACTTGTACCAAACTTCATGCTATTATTATAACATCCACAATTTTACTGCTCTGCATGCGTCTGTACTATAATGAAACTTCAGAAAAAGTTTCAAAAGCCATAACCTTTTTTTACATGTCCGATCACATTATCCTTTTAATAAATTTTGCTCAGTTTTGTAAGCTCTTTCTTATGGTGTCATCAGATTTGAAAAATTTGAAATTCTAAATTTTGCTGACCTTGCGTTTTTCATGCTTTCGGAAACGCAACTTCCGGTCATTTGCCAGAATGTTCCCAAGGCTTGAAATGATCATTTGGCCTTTACTCTTATGATTTAAACTTTAAAAACTTGGGTTAGGTAGGTTGCTAGGTGTTTATGCAAAATTCCCTGTCTATTAAAAATACTGAGTCGTACTCTTCTGTTCTTTCAACTGGACCCACTTCTTGATAACAGATAATAAGTTCTGTAAAAGTATTTCTCGCTCGAAATTAGCGTAAGAGATTTGTAGACGATCCTGGAGCATTGTGCTTCGCAGTTTCAGAGGCGGGGGGCCACAAAATTGAGTCTGAGGGGGAATCAAGTTAGTGACAGAGGAGGACCCACCATGGTTGGGTCCGACGCGAAAGAAATTTTTTTAAATTAAGCCTTCTAGAGTTGGCTAAAAATGCATCTCCCAGACTAAAATTGTCTCTGTTTTTGTCAAATTTCTTGGGATCAATCTTCTTCTGTGATGTTCCTGAAAATCTTCTTCTGGATCAACGGAAAAACTGAACTGCAGAACTTTTTAATTTTTGAATATTTTTAAAAATTACATAAAAATCGTCTGAAAATTTAGCAAAGATTATCTACCCGTCAAAATCCCAATTTTAGCGACTAAAATCCCACAGTTGATTCCTGGTCAATTTGAATCAATTAAAAATAACAAATTTGGAAGTTTTTGTTTTCATAAATTGTCCTTTTGAGAAACTGTCGCCCAGCTCCGTGATTTATAACCAGGGCCGCAAAGAGGGGGTAAGGGTGCAAAGGGACAAACTTCTCTTGGCTTCAAAGCTATGTGGGGTTTTTAAGAATGGAATTAATCAAACAAATCAAAAGTATGCCCAAGAATAGTGAAACGTTTCAAACAATTGGAAATTATTTCTCGGACATCTGTGAAATTATTCCCGAAGACGAAGCAAAAATTAAGACAGATTGTAAAAAATACACGTGAATTCTCAGCAAATTGACATTTCAAATTCATTCAAGGAAGTTGAAGATCAAGAAGTAGAAATCGGGCTTAAATAACGTTCAACAGTCAGTGAAATTTGTTACTTGCTTTTTCTTTGGACCACTTGCTATTCGCCAGCCTTGTTGTCAGATGAGGTGATAGCTTTAATCAATTTTGCTGCCAAAGATTTGACAGAACAGCTTTCCTTGATGATTTTCTTTTGCTTTTCAAGCCATCTGTCTACGTAATTCTGATCTGTGCCTTCGTCTGGAATGGCTTGAAAATCAGAACGAACTGATGGCAAAACGGCATAGAATCCTCTGCATCCACTACGTATTTCTTTGGCCTTTGATCTCATTGTTTTGTAATGCATCACTTTTGGGCTTCCTGCTCCTTTAGCACGTTCTCCCTTCTGCTGAAAACTTGTCAGCTCTTGATGGAGGATTTCGAAGAAACCAGCAACATGCTGTAGACCATCAATGAAATTTCCAAGAGCTGGAACCAAGACATCAGTCACAACCCTGCTTACGGCGTACTGGATTTCAGTTTCCTTTTTCTTCGCAGTGGCTTCTGCTAAATCGCTTTGGGCTGAGCCCAACAAAATTGGAGAAGCAATAACATTGACAAATGGTACAAATGCAAGTCCGATTGCCCAATCATTTTTAGTACTTGCAGAATCTTGGAGTTTTTGAACTTTTCTTTCATACTCGGCAGCTAAATCTCTCAATTCAATTACAAGTACACCGGCTTCATCTTTTCGCTTCTTTAATGAAGTTAACATGTCTTCGTGGATCTTGACAAGCACCTTGCAGGCCTCTTTGTGAGCCTCTGCTTCTTCTGTGATATCTTCAATGCTCTCCCACCACTCATCCATGGTTAAGGCCTCGTAATATTCAAAAAAGTCCCCAATGTCTGCTACACGTCTCGTAACAACTGGAAGCACACCCTTGAGATAAGCAACAGCATCATTTCGGGTGTGATCGCGTAACAGCCTGACTTTCCTTGCCGTGTTTGATTGTCCCCCAATTGCTTGGTCAGTGAAGAGACTCCTCATGCTCAACGAAAACAGCCTCATGTTTTCAGGAAGGGAGACCAGTCGAGAAGAAATAGTATCAATTTCTTTTGTGAGTGCTTCTGCCATCTACAGAGAGGGTTAACAAATTCAGTTTCATTTTAAACTTTGCTTTTACATACAACTCAACGTGTTCACTACAAGAAACGATTTGATTTAAATTTCAAAAAATCAAAGAGTCAACTAATCAACCTATTACGTAGTTTTGTTATAGGTTGTTGTTATTGTTATACGTAGCTGGCCCTCTGTATTCTTGGAGCAAAGGAGCTTTAAGGGCTGAAATTTCAGATGTTTTAAACAATTTTGAGGGCTGATCCCAAGCCAAGGTGTCGTTCAGGCGCAGATCCATCCAAAAATCTGACTTACGCAAGAACTTTAGGGGCAAAAGGGCGTGGTCAGAAAAAATGGTGTGGACATTTATTTAAACAATCCAAACTTTAAACTAAAAAGGACCGTTTCGAAACTCCTAAGTGTGAATAGTTTTCTCGTTTTCTTTGTCAATAGCTTTTTCAAATTTCCAGAAGTGGGTCGGGGTGGGAGGCTCATAAAATTTAAAGAAAAGATGAGCCAAAAATTTCAATCTCGAAAAATGGTGGCGATTTCTTCAACCCCAAAAATTTCAAATTTTTGAGAAACCCAAAAATGACATTTTATTAAATTTATATACAGACCCAAAAATTGAAGGAGATTTTTTGAAATATTAGCAAACATGGATTTTACATTATCCAGAAAATATAGTTGTAGAGATTTTAAAACATTAAAGACACTTCACAAATTTAAAATCTGACTGCAGCTCAAGCGTACGTCGCTGTAGTCTGAATCTGCACCAGTCGTTTAAAAAAACTGCATTTTAGCATAACAGCAACATTAAAGTTTAAGCATAACTAAAGTTTGAAAATTAATAGAAAATCCCATATAAAAAAACTCATGGATTTGAAGGAGTTTTTGCCTTGCGGTTATTCATAACTCATTCTTAGATATTTGCAATTTTGAACCTAATTTATAAATTTATAAAACAATGGGTTTTTAAAGTGTAATATTTTCAAGTTTCTTAGCACTTTCCAACTCACCCCAGTATTTCATCGGTTATAAGTCAATATTTAATGAAAAGCATACTAGTGGTTAATAAATGTACTGGTGGTTGAAAAATCGCTTTTATAAAATGGTTGGGCAAAGATACGTAAAATTTCTAAAATTTCAATTTCTTCTTTTGAAATTTGATATTGATTTACATAGGCCTGACGATTCTGACGATTCGCTCTGACGATTCGCACGCAAACTACCCTCCAGTTTTCCCATAATAACTTTTTAACAACTAAATCTGTAGGACTGATTTAATTTTAAAACATCACAAATACCATAGATTTACTGTTTTTTCATATTTTCATAATTAAATAAAAATTCCGGTTAATATGAAAGTCTCCGAAACTTAGACAAAAATGTGGAATTTGTGAAAACAGCCCTCCGGTTTTCCTTTAATAACTTTTCGCAGAAAAATGGTAAAAATACCATTCAAAGTTTAATCGATAGAACATAGTTTGCTACACTGTTTTTTTACAGTTTGCAAGAAGTTGAACTTGTTTTAAGAACATTTTCAGCCCCCTGAATGTTGGGAAAAACGAAATTTTCCAAAACTGCTCTTCAGTTTTCCTTTAATAACTTTTTTAAATCTCGGGGTTTTGGTCCAAACAGCCGTTAATTCTCTTTTTCGATACCTCCTACACTGTTTTTTCATAGTCTGCACTTGGGTTTTGCACTTTGTTATGATTTTATTTTACGTCGAAAGTAGAGGAATTTTGCGAAAGTGCAAAATCCGCCTCAAACCAGGATGTAGACTTCAGTTTATAAGTCGTTTCAATTCATCAAAATATTTGTTTAATTCTGTTTTTAAAGAAAATTATACGTTTTATTTGACTCCCGAGGTCTTGGAAAATGAGATTCTTTTCCTGTCAAACTTGTTTAAAACCATTCGGCACACCAACTGCCGCCAAACTTCATAGTCTCCCAGCCTCTAGTATGTTTAATTGTATGAATAAGTGTACAGAATTCAAATTGTGTCTACTTGATATGTGAGAAATATTTAGTAGCTAATCTGCCTTTTTTCAGTTCTTCAGACTCGCTTGTTTGATGCGTGCTTGTGCTCAGTTGGATGACTCAGACTGGTTTGTTATCGTCTCTGTCTTTAATTTATAGATTCCGACAGGTTCAAAGAAGTTCCTTGATAAACAATTGAATGCGTAAATCTAGTTCTAGGAACTTTCCTTTCCTAAAAGGACAACAAGGAAAAAATGTGGCTTTTCTGTAAGCCGTTGCCATGCCATTTCTCATTGTGGTTTGATGTCTAGTTTTGGTATGGTAATATATGTTTGCTATTACCAAAAAGCATTCATTCTGTTTACTTTGTAGTAGCATTACAAAATTTGTCTCTAAATACAGTACAACCAGTTTTTAGCTGAGATCTATACAAACTGTCTCTTGTCTCCAAGTTTCACACTGTTGTACCAGAGTACGACTGAAATACGATAATACTGTCTATTAAGGTCTGGGACAAAGTAACCCAGTCTCAAAATAGCCCATAGGTGCAATTTTAAGTTGGAGTCATTATCCTATCTTCTTCAGCGCATCAAACTGTCCTTTTTTGCAAAGTTTCATGCTGTTGTACCAAAATACGAATGAGATACGGTCAGGGGCGGACTGGCTATTTTTTTCGGACCGGGCACATTTTGATCAAACCGGCCCATAATAATACCAAATAAAAAAATCCTCGGAAAATGCTAGTAAATGTTAGTCTGTAAGTAAAACAAGTTTTTAAATTCAGTAATTTTGTGCATGGATGAATGCTTAACAGAACACTGTTAACAGAACACTGTTAACAGAACATGGTTAACAGAAAATGGTTAACAGAACATGGTTAACAGAACATGGTTAACAGAACACTGTTAACAGAACACTGTTAACAGAACATGGTTAACAGAACATGGTTAACAGAACACTGTTAACAGAACACTGTTAACAGAACATGGTTAACAGAACATGGTTAACAGAACATGGTTAACAGAACACTGTTAACAGAACACTGTTAACAGAACATGGTTAACAGAACATGGTTAACAGAACATGGTTAACAGAACATGGTAAATACGTTATTTGCTGACTAAACAATGAATAAACAAACATTTTAACTCCTTGGTTTGATTTTGTCTCTAAATGCAGTAACTTCATATATGCAATCACAGCAATAAGAGACGTCGGAGCTCTGTTGAAGAATTTGCGAATATGTTGATAATGTGATCGTTCTGGATTTCATCTAACAGGCGTTTTTCTAAGAACATTAACATGAAGGACTCCAGGTTTGGCTGCGAGATACTACTACGTAATCTGTTCTTTATATATTTTAAAGTGGAAAAGCTTGTTTCACACTCCACTTGTGTCACAGCCAAAGTTACCAGGTATTTATAAGCTTTATAAAGCTCTGAATAAGCAGACGATTGCATGTTAAACTGGTATAGAAGCTTGAATACACATGAAAAGCAACAACGGCATATTCCTTCACCACCTGCTTGACATAAATCATCATCTGAATCTTGGGCATTCAATGATTCATCCTCAGATGAAGTACTTGCAAAGCCTTCTTCGCCATCGGCTCCATAATCCTCTCCAACTGTTTTCATTGGCCTTGGAAATTTTTCGTGGAAATCCAAGAGCTGTTCCCTCAATACGAAGCTATCCAGTCCCATCCTTTTGCAAATGCTTCCCAGGGCCTCTTTAGGCAGGCCTTCTTTTTAAAATTCTTCAAAGCGGCTAGGGTCTAAGTATGAAAAATCTTGGCACAGCTCTCTATGATTGGATAACCTACTTTTTATGCTTTGCAATACTTGATCCATAATCACGTTAAAGACTTCCATTTTGAAGGATTCATGTGGTTCACGAGAGACAGAATCGTCAGCCTCACCAGTGCGTTCATCAAAAGGTAACTTTCTTGTTCGTATCCTTTTTGTAGGTAGCTTTTCTTCTACAACAAAGTCGACATCGAGTTCTGCAAGCTTCCTGTTTGCATTCTTTGAAAAGTTTGTGGCAATCTTTAAATGTTCTCAAAGTCTCTGCTAATTTTTTCAAGTCTTTCAGTTGCAGAGCCTACCACTCTCCAAGCTTGCATGAGGTCAACACCTCTAGTCTGAAGATACTCCGACAATGGTGTGGTGATAGCAAAAATTGCATGGAAAACAGTAGCTGTTACAATCGTCTCAAATGTCAAGAGTTTTCCTAGTAATGTTCTTGCATCATCCCTAGCAGATGTGTTAAACTCGTTATTGTGAGCTATGCCAGATAAAATAATCAACATGTCAATATACAAGGCGTTTTGTTCGGTGTGAATGAAATCGAAATCTCCAAAGACCTTCTGAATGGCTCCAGCTTTTGCCCACCAGCGCGTCTTACCAATCGTGTTTAACTTCTTCAGTTTTTCTGTTCCAACTTTACCTGCAAGATAGTCATTCCACTGATTCATTCGCTTGTGTGACTCTCTGAAGAAGGTAGCAACTGAATTTAAAAGGGCGAATAAACTCATAGCAGGAGTGATAGCAGAGGTAGTGTCTCCCAGGACAAGATTCAAGGTATGTGCATAGCACCACACATGAATATGCATGTCTGCAACTTGTTTGATTTTTGCCCGTACGCCATTGTATTGGCCTGACATATTGGCTGCTCCATTGAAACTGTCTTCAATGCAATCTTTAATATCAATGTTGAAGCGTTCTAGATTGCCTTAATAAGGTCAAACAAATTTTGTGCTGTTGAACCTGTTGCTTGAACAAGAATCAGCAACCTCTCGAAAAAAAGACCCTGGTATGCATACCGGACAACAGTAGAGCATTGATCTTTGCAAGATACGTCTTGGGTTGTATCCATCTCGATCGAGAACAGCTTTGCACCTTTTACTTGGTCAGATATCTCTTTTTGTATCAAATCTTTTCTTATGTTTGTTAATTTTATAACTGTTGATTTTCTTAAAAAGGTAATTAACGATCCACGGCCCCTCGCAAACTTTTTGGCGTCCTTTTTAGATTTCATTCGGCTATGTCTACGATCCAAAGTTATATTATATTTCTGAACAATTTTTGTTAAATGGGATTCAAGTACAACATCAAACTTTGAAACCAACT